ATTTTTGAAACAGAATATATAGTGATACCATGGGGAAATAATTACTGGCCAACAATTTCCTCAAATAATTTCAATCCTTTTAAAAAGGTTTTGTTATTCATGACAGTATTCAAGATCCTTTTCTGAACAAGTTCTAGAATCGAGGGCTGTTACTACATGGCACTTTATTGGGTTGTATAAGTGAAAAGGGGGAAGTTCTCAGTCTAGTGATTTTACTACTTAACATTCCAACTGTAGGAAATAAAACATGAGGGGTGAGCAAGATAGGGAGGGAAGAGAAAGAAACAAAGGATTAAATCCAGATTGACTGATTGATTGATACTTTATTGTAGCCTGCAAAAATAAATGACAGCATATGTTCTAATGGATTAAGAGATAAAAAACAAAAGTAATCCTGTGTAAATTAGAAAATGTTTCTCACAAAGCATAAAATATTGTGCACTGTAACATAAATGTGACTTTTTAAAATTAAAGTATCACAAGAACCTCTGAGAAATATTGAAATACTGACTGAGATCCTACATTGTCAGATCTAATGATTATGATGAAGTTCTAACATATTAATGACATTTGATGATTTTACCCCACCTCCCTTTCAGCCTGGTAGCCCCCTATCCAAAAACTTTTGAAGGTGCTGCTAATATAGGTGTACAGGAAAATGAGATCTGTTGAATTTTCTTGGTTGGGAGATACATGGATAACATGAAGCTGGAGAGAACTCTCAGGGTCCTGCACCAACTCTCATGGTGTCCCGTGACCAGGAGAGTATTTCAGATATCATTTCACAGTACCCCAAACTATAGTGGTTTAGAAATCCATTGATTGAGGTGTTGCCATTTTGAAGAGGAAGGTATTGGGACATTTTAAATCATTAATGGCCATAGATATGAATCCCCAGAAGTTGTGAGATTGTAAGTCCACTTGAGAAGGTCAGTTGCTGTCTGGCAATGACCTGTGACTGACAATGGCAGCTGTTAAAAACTAGCTGTTTTAGCTGTAATTATGGAATTCTGATCAAGCCAAAATGTGATATAATAATGTGAAATAATCAGATCTGCCAGGAGCTTGATGTATTAAAAGTAAATTGAATGCCATTATTAAAAGGGGCAATTCAGTAACATATCCATTTCTGTCCCCAGCCCTTCTGCTTCACAAGGATGTAAATGCTCAGGGTAAGAGAGTGCTGACAGTAAAATATGACATCTAGCCAATATAAATGATATACTGAAACTGGAAATTGTTGATTCTGCTAAGTAATTGGTAGGCACAAATGCCCTCCTTTTATCGCTGAAACAGGTGTGAGATGGCCAAACTCAAATAGTTTTGCATTCTGTGTCCCAGATTGAAAGGCAGTTTTAGCTTTGGAATACAGTGAATAGAACACCAAAAATACAGCCAAGCTTTTTCCTTTTTTCCTTTTGGTTTGAATGCCACCTGTTATGATCAGTGGGTCCAGTTCCACAGGGAAGAAGATAAGCTTCACATTATATTATAACCCAGGTACAAGGTTCTATTCGTCTTAAGTCTAGATTGGGCATACAACACAGAACACCTATTAGAGTTCTTAGAAAATTGCTTTGAATGATCTTAAAAGGAGCATAGATTAAGCCAAAAAAAAGAAAAATGTAACTAATAAAGCTTTGATTAATCTTTAATTGCTTGCTCCATTGATTATAATGTGTTTGTTCTAAGATTGGATTCTAAATTCGTAATTCTAAAAGTTATAAAGTATTTTGGTTGGCTAATAAGATATAGTTCCTTGTGGATTTTGTTTTATTTGACAGTATGGTCAACATGGTCACCCCTAAATATATTTTCTCTGTAATACAACAGAATGATTGTGGTTTACATTTTATTTAAGCATTCCATTGTTTACAGAGAAAATATATTTATGGGTGACCATGTTGACCATACGGTCAAATAAAACAGAACGATTGTGGTTTACATTTTACTTAGGCACCCCCAGTGGTGCAATGGGTTAAACCCTTGTGCTACCAGGACTGAAGACTGACAAGTCAGAAGTACGAATCTGGGGAGAGTGCGGATGAGCTCCCTCTGTCAGCTCCAGCTCTCCATGTGGGGATATGAGAGAAGCCTCCCACAAGAATGGTAAAGCATCAAACATCTGGGCATCCCTTGGGCAATGTCCTTGCAGACAACCAATTATCTCACCAGAAGTGACTTGCAATTTCTCAAGTTAATCCTGACACAGAAAAAAGCTCCCATTTTGAAGGTGTGTGTGTGAATGTGTTGAGAGGGGATGGATTAGGGAAATGGGCCTTGTCTAAATTGCTTGTTGCTAACTGCCACCATAACAACCTTGGCCTCATGTACACTGCCATATACTGCAGTTTGAAACTGCATAAAATGGTCAATGAAGACACATTTGCAGGCATTAGTGGCCCTTGTAAATGATGACATGGGGAAATCACCCCATGTAATTTAAGTGACACAGAACAAAGGAAACCTTTCAGCTGATAAAGAGGCTATTTTTAAACGTTTAACAGCAAAAATGAGGGGGGGGGCATCCCAGGAACAGCTTCCACACATACTCTACATCCACAAAGATCAAGACTGAAAGATCTGGATCTTTTCAGGAGTTTTTTTTTAACTCAAAATAAATCTGGATGTCCAGGTTGATTCATATGGATGCCTCATGATAATGTGCCCCCTACACAACATTATAGTGCAGTGTAAATGCAGTTCATTAACGGTAAAATAGGAGCCCTCGCTGGTGCAATGCATTAAAGCCTTGTGCTGGCAAGACTGAAGACTGACATGTTGGAGGTTTGAATCTGGGGAGAGAGCAGATGAGCTCCCTCTGTCAGCTCCAGCTCTCCATGTGGGGATATGAGAGATACCTCCCACAAGGATGATAAAACATCAAAACATCCAGACATCCCCTGGGCAATGTCCTTTCAGACAGCCAATTCTCTCACACCAGAAGTGATTTGCAGTTTCTCAAATAGCTCCTGACATGAAAAATTCTTTTTTTTTACTTAGATTATGTCAAATATTTTCAATTTCTCATGGATTAGTAGTTTTGGAACTTGTTTCATCATGAAATATGGTGAATTATTTGTGTTTCTTGGATCTTTTTCCCTTTTGTTTATGAAATCACTCAAATAGAGATTGATTCAAGTTTTTGATCAAAGTTTTGTAATTATCCCCCCACCCACCCATTATGGCTAAGAGGAGCTTGACAATTAGTACCTATACATGATTTTCCAAAAGAGATTCAAACAGAAGAGTAGTAGGTGTAAAGTACTGAAGGTACACTCTCTCTAGTCAAACGTTCTCAAACCTTTAATGGGTCATACAAGTGGCATTTGAGTGAAATGTTTATTTTCTAGTATTAGCATACACTGCCTTCTCTAAAATTCATGTTACAATGTCATTGTATGTTTAAAAAATGCCAAAACTTTCCCCCTAAAATTACAAAACAATGAAAAGGGAATTTACTCTTTGCTTTCATCCAGTTTGCTTCAGACAATATTTATTTATTTATTACATTTCTATCCCGCCCTTCTCCCCACAAGGGGACTCAACGTGGCCTGAGTATATAAAATGTATTTTCCTCTGTCTAATTGTCACATTTTTTTGGATAAATTACATTGCCAGAATTGAGGTGAGAAATAGATTTGATGGTGTGTTGGAATAGCACACATAAACCATCTAAGTAAAAAGACCCAGAGAATCCTGGGACCTTGATGACCGAACATAGAGGTGAGGGGGTGCTAAGAGTCTGTTCCACTGGCATCAGTCAGGAGTGCCAGGTTGGAGACCTAGTGCTCCTGCCACTTAGTTGTGGATCCTGGCTCTTGGGAGGCCCTTATGGCCTTTTGCTCATCTCACCAGGCTCTCAGTCTCATGTGGTTCCCAACTGGCTCATTCACAATATAGATTCTGTTAGTGTGTCTAGCTGTGTCTAATAAATATGTAAAATGTGTTGAGCTTCCACAAATTAAAAATGCACCAATACAGTAGAAGTATTGTAGTTTGACATCACTTTAATTGTCATGGCTCAATATTACGGAATCATGGGAGCTGTAGTTTTGGGAGGCACCAGTACTCTTTTGTAGAGAAGCCTAAGACAATTAGAATGGTGTCAAATTGCCTACATGTGTAGCATAACGACCAAGCTATTTTACAGTATTTAAAATCCATGTAGCATAGATGTAATATGATAGTGGTATCTATTAATATATTTCTATATGACAAATTGTTGAATGGGAGAAAATGTTAGTGTAAACATAAAGCTGTTTTAATAAAGTCTAATTATAAGCCTAATTGTTATAAAAGAAATACATATAGCAATGGTAAAAACAAAATCTTCTCATGTGAATGCTACAAAAAAAGTTATGTTACAAAAACCACAGCCAGTGAGGGGTTTTATTTCAGTGAGTCTGCAACGGAAGGGGAGAAAAAGAAATATCTTCAGAACAGCATGGACGAATGCTTTGGTAAATAGTCTATGGAACACAAGACTCAAGCTGCTTGATTCCAGGGGCAGTAGCTGACACCTCAATTAAATGACTAATGTGAAGTTCTAAATAAAGATCAAAAGTCACTGTGGCTCCAAGGTTACCAGGGATATCTGAAGGATAGAGAAAACTTTGGCTCAAAGAAGTCATGGACAGAATCTTTCAATGCATTCCAGGACAGCAATTTTGAAGAAAGCCAAAAAGCTTTAGAAAGCTATGTTTCTCTTATATATGGGTGCTCAAGGGTATGAAGGATTTTACTAGCATTCTTGTGTTGTTTTAAATACTCTAAAGACACCAGATCCTATCTGATGAAGCTAAAAAAGGCCAGCCCTGAGTAGTGCCCGCTGGTGATGTTCTGTCTCCCAGAAGTTTGATTTGCATTGCCCCATAGTTATAGGAAATAGCATTCCTTTGCATTTCTTCCAGGGTTGTTACAGACTCAGTAACACCTTGATAGTTAACCATTAACAGAGGCTTGAAGCCAGCTTGCAAAGCCTTTGCTGCTGTCGGGGATGAGATCTCCATTTTTGAAAAGTTCTTTTTGCCTTCTACAGAAAAGAGAAAAGAACTCAGATGTGCTTGTGTGGTCAAGCCAGGCCAGCTCAGACAAGCCATCGTAAGTATTAACATCTTGCCTTTAAATTAGTTCTGAGTAGGATAGGGATAGATTCGCTCTCTCTATGATTGCAACTCAGCACTAGGGCAGAGAGCATCTCAGGATTTCTCCGCCATTGGAAGAAGTTCTAACTACTTCGTCTCCAAGCTAGCATTGAGTTTAGATAGGGAAAGACCTACTCTTTCTAAAATAGCAACTCAGGGCTAGGGTAGAGAACATCCCAGGATTTCTCTACCATTGGAGGAAGTCAACCCAGCAAATAAAGGAAAAAGCAAGAAAGAAACATCCACATGATTTTGTAAGTTGACTGTTTGTATCTGTAACCTCAACAAGTTGCACCAAGTCTGCCAAGGACTTTGAGAAAATAAAAATCTTGTTTGATGTTCAGTCTGGAGTGGCCTTAGTTGCTTGGACTCCTGAGTTTAAAATAAGGCCCCTGCTATCCACCTGGCTAAAAAAAAGAGCACATCATAGTTTAAACACTAGAGTGCCTGGGTGTGACGGCACAGGTGAGAACCCACAGAAGCGCCCCCATTCCAAAAATATATATGGGGAGTGGTACTCCTTCCTTTTTTGAGAGCGCAAGTTATTTAGGGCTTTAAATGTCATCATGAATTTACAATGGAAACATATAGATAGCAAGAGCATTTTTTAAAGGCTGGCATCACATGCTGATGATTTAGCTATTTCAACCCCACTGATGACTTCCCCTAGTTGCTTCACAAAGATATTGAACAACATGGGAGATAAGATGGAACCTTGTGATAGTCAAGATCTTGTGTGCCATGGGGCCAAACAGGAATCACCCAATGCTAGTATTTGGTACTGGCCATCTGGATATAAATAGAACAGTGCTTCTTTCTCTCATGTCACATAACCGGTCAGTAAGGTACCATGATCAAAATATCAAAAACCTTTGCAACCCCATATAAACTGCCATGTAATGCAGTTTCAGAATGCAGATTAACTGCATTATATGGTGGTGTATAATATGCATGATATGTGTCTACACTGACCATATAAAACCACATTATATGGCAGTATGGATGGGGCTTAATAGATCCAGGAGAAACCATCTCTGTTATGTCTTCCTAGCCCAAAGTGCAAAATGTTAAATATGATGTCTGTAGACGCTCCCTTTCCATACTCAATGCTGTCACCATTATTTGTTCCCATATCATGAATTTGTGACCAACAAAATAATCCAATTTACCATGGATAAATACAGGGACCCTTTTACATTACCAAAATTTAGCACAACATTCCACTTTAACAATATCCTATCATGGCAACATCCTATAGAATCCTGCTGGGTGTAATGTAGGGAAAGTATTTTGAGTTCTCTACCGGAAAGCTGTAGTGTTTCACCATACATAATTCTTTAGATTCCATAAGAAGCAGCCATGGCCATTAAAGTGGAATATAACACTACAATTGTGTAGCATAAATAGACCTCTAGTTCTTCCAGGCAGGTTACTTTTGTCCATGCTACAACTAGGTATTAACAGCTCCAAGCAAGCAGTAAGAGAGTAGTGCAGACATCAGAGATGGAATGACCTGCATATTGCTCTTTTGAGCTGCAGGCCACAACTAATGATAGCAACTGTATGCAGCCCAGCAATGTTGCTAATGGAGAGACAAATCAGAATACCCAATGCAACTCTAGACAAAAATCTAATTCCAAAGTTGTCTGACCTTAAAACAGTAGCAAAGTCAAATTATGAAGCTAAGAGAAGCTGTTAGAAGTGAAGCAATTCTGCATGAGAACTATCAGGAGTGGAGCCAGAAGAGAGAGTTTGTAGGAAACATGACAGAGAAAAGATATGGCAGACACTGAGAATTGTACAAGAAAAAAAAACTCAGACAAAACTCTGGAAAGTATTTCTACTTAACATGAATATATGACATCTTCTTTAGGATCCTAAGAAGATATAACAGGCAAAATACAAGTAGCACCTAAAACATTCAGCAGTATAGAATGCCATCTTGTTTGCCTGGAGTTCTGTATATGTCTACAATTTTATACTTTACAGACTGTCTTCTAAGCTTTCAGTTTTTAAAAATTGCTTTAATTTATACTCAGATGTTCTAAACTGTTTGAAATTCTGAACTGTTTGAAATTCATATAATGCACATTGAATATATTCCTGTTCAATTTGTATTGTAATGGCAGTGCAGATGAGGGCTTAGAGATGAACCTAAGCTACTAAAAATGTCAAAAGACTGATCTGTTTAATAATTTTTTTAAACAAAATTGAGATACAGCCGGCCCCCCACATTTGAGGGTGTCTCTTTTGCTGATGAATGTAAGATTTCTAGAGAAGTGTTCTCTGTAGCAAACCCTAGATCAGTCAACGTGATTTTGGGTGGAAGTTGATCATGGAATCTCATTGGAGAACTCAAAGATTCCTAAAGAGAATGTTTTAATCAAATCCTTGAATTATCAACATTCTCTTTAGGAATCTTTGAGTTCTCCAATGAGATTCCATGATCAACTTCCACCCAAAATCACGTTGACTGATCTAGGGTTTGCTACAGAGAACACTTCTCTAGAAATCTTACATTCTTCAGTGCAATTCCAATGGCAGTGGGCCACAAAGTTGTCCTGGAGAACTTAGAGAGGACCTAGAGAAGTATTATGTCAGGTTAAAAAATAGCATTTTTATTTATGGTTTTCCCACTTTTGCAGGAGTCCTGTACCCCTAACTCCAGTAGATGTTGATGGTTAACGGTACATCTATATTGTTGTTGTATAGTGGAATCAGTGATTTTCTGTTCCCATCCTCTTCCTTGTTTAGAGGAAAACAAAGTTCTTGTCTGACTTCCTGACTCTAAGCATCTCATAATAATGTGAACACACAGTACAAATGCTAAGCTTTACTTTCCATGATCAAAGGTAGGGAGAAAATACTCAAATATTATAGGCAAAACATGAAGATAGATTTTATGCTAGTATCCTGTAATGGAAAGAATGATGGCTCTGTCAGTGCGTGTTAAACAATCACAATGAATCGATATGCACAATAATAACTTCATACTCAATGTTTACTTTACTTCTATTGAACCACTACATTTTATAATGCTTTAATTAAATGACATCAGCACCGATATTTTTGTCTGGGCTGATGGCTGTTGATATCTTGATATGAAAAGATGGGCATGACAATAAAGAATATGATCCTATAGTTGTATGAACATACCACTATGAAAGGAGATATCATTGCCAAATAGATTTTTTTCAGGGAATACATTAGATGATGTTATGGGGTTTTTGTTGTTGCAATGTTTATATTATCAGCATGGTTTTCTAGACAGCTCAATAACTTGCTTGTTTACCAGAGGTTTGTCCACTTACATTCTTTGAGATTATGTCAGCTCTTCTTTGTAATGCCCATGGAGAAAAGAATCCAAGGAAGACTCCAGCAGACATAAACTGATATGTCTCTCAATACCACCTCAACTGTTTGCCAATTAAAACAAGCTATGTCTGCACCTCCCCTGCAGATTTGGACACTCCTTAAAGTTATTACATCAAAGATGCAGCAAATTGTTCTATAATTCAGTTTACAAATTCTGCAAAGACTGCACAAAAAACGGCTTAATGTCTAGAGAAGGGCAAGCATTTATCTTCTATAGTTATTAACATCTTTGTTTGCAAGAAGGAAGATTTTTTTTATTCTTCACGAAACAAAACTTTTTGCTGAGACTGATAAAACTGTTTATAGTAAATTGTGCTCCCTCTGTGCTCAACACCTGATTTCATCTACTGCCCTGCGAGAGATGTCTACTCCCATGATGCCCTGCAAGAACTGCTAGGCTCAGCTGAAAAGAATTCAGTCGCTTTGACACTGAACATCTGGTACGGTGTTTATTTGTTCTATTGCTCCTTTTAAAATGAATGTGAAATATCAGATGCCTCAGTAAAATTAGTTTTCTAGCCATCAATGCCTGCAGCTAGCTTAATAATCTGTTCAGTAGATCTGGAGTATCAAGCAATATTACTTCTGAACTTAAAGGAAGAGGTGGGAGGGAAAAGAAAGACATTGCTTGGATGAATTTGAAGCACCATTTTGCATAATTGCACTTTTGTAATTCAACAAACAGCAGACATTTCAGAAATGGAAGTACCTGCCTGTTTACAGGGAGCTGGCTTTGACATCAGAGCTTGCGAAAACAGTTCAGCGCTGAACATCTGATCTATCAGGTTTATATAATCTTCTTTTAATTAAAAAGCAAATGTGTTTGATGTAAAGTACATATATGTGAGGCTAACTCCACCAAAGCCAACTTTGTCCAGTCATTTTGATGGACAAAGCATGTATTCAATTTGGTTTAATTTGCCCTGTTGGAATGAATTGCAGTAATCATCTTCCCAGCATTTTCACTGAAGCAGAATTGCTATTGAGTTTGATGAGGTGAAGATGGCCCTTTAACTTTTTTTCTTATCTCTCAAATATTAGTTGAATTTCTTCAGTTTCCCCTGGATTGCCTGTGAGTATCAATGCATGCAAAGTTTGCCTTAATAACAGTAAATGTGGAGCAATTGTTTGCAAATTCCACTGCACAGTCTGAGTATTATGAGACCTTGTGATATATTTTCAGTGATATGCTTCCTCAAAATCTGGGTTTGTGATAGTTCATCATGCAAATTCCGGTAACACAAAGAAGATTTAGCTGAACAGGACACTGTGGTGGAAAGTGAGCCCCTAAATAATGATAACAGAATCTGTCTGATCTTGGAAGCTAAGCAGGGTTAGCATTGCTTAGTACATAGATGAGGGATTATCCATGATTGTCAGAGGAAGGAACTGGCAACAGTATCTCTGAGTCTTTCTTGCCTAAGGAAACACTGGGATATTAATTTGGTTGCTATAAGTTGTCAGATGACTTGAATGCACACACACACAATGTAATTGTGTGAATGGATTTTGTCTTTGCATGCTCGAGTAACTTGTCTGTTCTTATCCTGAATAGATCTTCATTCTAGGGGGTTTACTGTT